TCACCCCTCGTGACAGCACATCCGCACACCTCTTGCTATGGTTCTGGGCCTGTATCCTCACACATAATACACCACATTAAAAACATATGCACATTAAATTGAACAGTCATTGACTTTGAGAAACGATTCGCAAGCTGTGCTACTGAATCACTAGAAGTTATATTTAAAAAATGATTAATAAAGCCTTTGGTATATTTTGTAGCACTCAGGATATACAAAGGCATCCTAAGAAATTCTTTAAGTTTGTCTTCTACTTCATTATTGGACATCGATGGTTATGGCAGGTCAATGAACAGTTCAACGACTTTGGCAGGGAGGACAACAGAAGTGGCAATGAGCCTTTCAATGGCAGTGCTTTCGTTTATTTGGTTGCTCACCGCCATTGCACCTGGCAATGCAATACATTTGCATGCATTCATCGCCTTGGGGAAGGGGCTCATACTGGTTGCTACTTGTACACATTCTTGTGTCGTGCACTTCTCCATCGGACACGACAGACGATTTTCCGATACTTGGACAAAACAACTTGGCTGTGGAAAAGTGCTCCATAAAACTGACCGCCGACAAGGCGGAAAATGGGAAGACGGTGCCACGGCGACGCAGTTAGCTCGAGAGATTGGGCAGAAGATTGAGATTGAGCAGAAATAAAAATTTATGGAGTGGTCATTTATCACAAAGACAACAAAACAGTCTTGCGGGGTTGGGCTGGGCTGGACCAAAGGACCAAAGCACCAAAAAAGGTTGCCACATTACGTGTCCCTTCCCCATCTGCGGCAAGGGATAGATAGTCCGCGTCCAGCTCTAAGTTTGGCTGTAAAAACCAGCAGTAATATTAACGGGCACACTGTTGCTTTTGCTTTTGCTTTTGCTATTGCTATTGCTTTTTCTGTGACTGTGGCTGTGGCTGGCGGTGATTCAGTTCAGTTGTTTCGCTGTTTCGTTGTTTGTTTGCCCATTCAGCGCCAGAATATTCAAAAGTTGCATTTTTAATGGAGTTTCCTTGTCAAACATGACTTTGATTCCCTCGTTGGGAATCCAGCCGTCAGCTGAGTGCGCGGCTCCCTGTGATCCATCCACTAATGTAATTTTTACTCGGATTGCCACACATAAACACCCACAGACAGAGCCAAAGCGAACACACACACACACAACACAATGATACACAGATATATTCAAATGTTTGAACATTTTTACGCATCTCACACGTGAAATTCCCCGCGGAACGGGCATCCGGGCATCCGCATCCGCATCCGCATCCTGCCAAGCGAAGCCAAGCACACACAGATACACCTGATCTTACATACATACACACTCGCATGTGGGTGGGTGGGTGTTGTCTGGTGTGCGTGTAAATCTGTGGCGAAGGGCCACACAAAATGCCCTTCAATAGGACGGCCATGGAAATGGCCAGGGAGCACAGGTAATGGCAGCACTAAACGGCTCCAACTGCAGCAAACGGACATAACAGCACTCCACAGAATGTTCCCTGATTATATTCCAAGCGGACAAAGCGATTCAGCTATCCGAAAATGATTGCAAATGGCTGCTGGAATATATAGTCAAATATCCACCATCCGTAAAATCGATTGAAGTGGCTGCAATGGCTGCTATGATGGATTGCCATCGAGAAATGATTATCCAACATTAAGAAACGCGTATTGCTCCAATTCATTTACTTACATTAGGGATATTACAACTACTGCGTACTACGGTCTATTCTGTCATCCGCTGCAGCCCAGCAAACCAACGAGAGTCCCGCAAAGTCCTCGCAAACGAGCTCCGCATGCGAGTAAACCATTTTTTTTTATCGCAAAACACTCGCAAACACTCTGCTAGTTATAACATACATACAGACATGCATACATACATACATATATGTACTTTCGTAGCACATCATAATTATAACATTATAATAATAATAATAGATATATAACATTACGATTTGAAAATACAAATATTCTTATTGGAACAAAATTTGAAGGGAACAAAAAAAAACTCGCATAAATATTTCTTGCGAGCCTTTGCCAAAATAATTTTTTGAGTCTTTTTTGATATTGCAAAAGTCTTGCAGCAGATATCAGAAAAGTCTCACAAAAGGTGTCGCAAGCTGAACGACACATATTTCTATCATATACGAGTTCAAATGTGAGCGTTTGGTCGGGTTAAGTCTCAGTCTGGCTTACCCACACGTGCACACTCTTGACCTTTATATCAATTTATTTATTTATTTGACTCGTATGAGATATCGTTTGAGAGCGTTTGGCATGCTTACTGAAGGTTACTGGAGGGATACAATTGTTTCTTTATTTGAATTTTTTCCTTATTTATTTTATTTATTTATTTATTTTATTGAATGCAAGAATTGGACCGATTAAATTTAGAATATAAAATCTTAAGGAAACCCATTGTTGATCGCGGCAGGGAAGGGCGGCGGCAGAATCGTTGGATTCGTCCGAATCGGTAGAGCGGGTAGAGTGGGTAGAGTGGGTGGCAGCAGAAGATGCGTCGGCAGCGGAACGTTGTCATTGCCCGGCAGCGGGGAAATCAACATCGATTCCCGATGGTGAGGGCAAAGAACAGCAGAAGCTGGCAGCAAAAACTCGGAAGCGGTGACCGATGGTGGGAGCTGAGAACGGTGGGTTGTGTGTTGGGCTGCCATGTCCTGCCCTCCACCGAAATGAGTGTCTATCCGTGCTGGGCCGCGGGGCGGCAGTTGGGGGGTTACGAAGTGGCCTCGTTTCAGAGCTCGCTGCCACTGCTGCCACTGCTGCCATTATGCTCATCAGCATCGGCATCGTCACCCCCCTCCCCACCACCACAGGGGGTCCTGGCGCAGGCGGAGGCAGGTAAGTGCCGCTGCATGTGTGGCTACATCAGTCTGGCTTACCCTCACGTGCACACTCTTGACCTTTATATCAATTTAAGCGAGCCCGTAAAACCATAATAAATTATTTGCCTTTGTCTTGCGTTCGGTTAAGGGAGTGCAGTGCGCCTCGAAAGTTCCTTCAAATGCAATGGAAAACTAAAGGAAAAACAGACACAGACACACTGACATGCCGTGCATCCGAGTCCCCTGTGGGCAGGTGGGCAGGGAACGAACTCCATGACACATCGATGCATACGCGGCACAAAAATAAACTTTCAACTTTCACTTTCATTGCCTTGCACTGCGTGTGGGTTTATTTAGTTTTTCGTTGCTTGATTTGGTGTTTGTTGATTTGCAATGTATTGGTACCTGCTAAAGGTGTATGTGTGTGTGCTGCACAGTGTGAAATTAATGCGAAATTTGCAAGATTATTTTGCGAAATTATTGTGCATTTCCACCAGAACCCCCTTCGAGGCGATTAGAAAGCAATCCTCCAGACGAGGAGCGGCTGCATGCATCCTAAGAAGAGCCCCAAATGCAGGGCCAGTGGTGTCCAGGTATAAGGTGTCGCCAAAGTTTAAGTCGATGTTCAGCAGAACGCTGGAAGAACCCTCACTCAACTCGGCCAGTACTTGCTCCTCGTTGCTGGTCTTCAGACAGAGCCTGGCCGACGTGCCCCGCTCCAGATTAGCGCATAAGAGGTGGACCAGCAGCCGTACGACGCTTGTGTACAAGTCACTCAGGAGCATTGCAGAAGTGACCGTAGCAGTAGCTGGCGGCAGACAGGGAGTGCTCCATTTTAATTGGATTGGCCACTGCAATGCATCACCGCGTGAATTAAGACAATATTCGACACCGAGCTACGCTTCACTTAGCTCAGAGCAGGGGAAAAAGGAAATTAAACTGCGAAACCCTCATGCGAATGCTGCTGCAAATTTATGTTCAACCTTCAGCTAGCCTGACTTTTCAGCAATTGACATTTCAAGCCCCGATAGCCAGAACAGCACCATCGATGTGATGGCGGGTGACATACCTAAAAGAATCGACGCCACCAAATACTGCACCGGGAACAAGGTCCGTCCGATGGTGACATTCGCATATTCCCGCAGGGAAAAAATCACTCACGCAGGAACCCGAGGAACCCGAGGAACACCCTTTTACTTTTGATTCTGGATAAGCTATCAGTAGACTGCAGTGCGGTATAGACAGCTCCCACTTACCCGCCCACAGCCCCCTCCACAGGACCACACCAATCTATGGAAAGTACCGGGAATGTACAAACTGATTAATAATAAAATTAAAACATATTTCCCCTCTTCAACGGGAGAACCTTTATGTCTATCGCACCACGCACGATTGCAAAATATTGACTCTACTCTACACTGTAACTAAATTGGGAGCTAGTCGATAATCCCTGAGAATAAATTGCATGTTAAACGTAAATTCCTTTGGTCACTTTCTTGCTTCTGAAACTCTGAGGCAGCCGTCAGACTTATCGACGATCGCAGTGTGCCATTCTGTGTGCTCCATTCCCTGTGTGTCGCTCCATTGGAGGGAGACATTATTCAGTCAGTCAGTCAGTCGGTGTGATAGTTCCCAGCGTATAACTTGTTTTTTATTTCTATTCCGGTGAAATATAAAAATGTTCAAGCGATTGCGAAATAGAACGATTTTCATTGGAACGGAGTCATCCGACGAAGGGGAGATCGCGGACCCACCAATCCCGATAGAATTGGTTACAAATAAACGCAAGAAACGCGCGGCTAAGCCCAAGCCATCGGGTTCTTCTTTCCGGCATGAGGGACCACTCCACTACCATCCATGCCGTGCGCTCAACTGCCCCCAGTAAGTAGAACGAGTTCATACTCAAGTGAACGCCACTCGTAAAAGGCACTGCAACTCCCACTCAGGGAGGAAAAGCGGGAGCTGCGAAGTGTGGGATCGCAAACCCATCCGGTGGGGTACTATGAACTCCCAAAGGCGAACTGGCCCTCCGATGCAGAGTCTCGCATGCAGGTGGAACCCATAGAGCAGGATGAGTTGGTCCAGTCGGTAAGTAGTTGCATGCCACTCACATATACATATATGCATATATATACATATATATATATATATATACAACATTCCTAAGACGATGCCGAACGCTGCCCCTGAGTTGCAATGGCCGAAGATTAAGAGGGAGATCCCTGAAGCCAGCCCTGAGCCGGTAAGTAGTTGCTCGCCTGTCAGTGTGAGGTACTGTCAACCGAATAACCATGCACTGATGTTGCAGCTCCAGATGGCCAGCGACGCTACGTCCATGGCTACTACTCCAAGCTTCGGGGGAGGAGGCGGAGAAGGCGGCGGAGGCGGCAGTCAGCTGCCTGAAAAGTCCACGGCGCCGTTGCGCAGCTCCAATCGGCTGGAGAAGGCAGTAGCCAGTCGACAGTGTCACCCCGCGTGTGTTCACACGGGCGGCAACGGGCAACGGGTGCCATTGTCGGCGGTGAAGATCCACGTTCGTGGCCTGCCTCTCTCTGCCAAACGGGAGCAGCTATCGGAGCTGTTTGGGCATTTTGGGGCACTTACGGCGGTGGAGTACCCGACAAACAGACACCCAAGGAATCCGATGGGTCGGGGCTACGCCTTTGTCCAGTTTGTCTGCCCCAACGCCTGTGCACTGGCAATAGAGCGAATGAACGGGGGCACCATAGGCGGACAGCGGATTCAGGTGGCTCCCTTCCAGGCCAGAATGCTTAGACAAGCCCTTCCGCTGCGAAGCTACAGTCGTCGTACCCGTTCCCGTTCTCGTTCCCGATCCCCCAGGCGCTATCGGAGTCACCGTTCCCGTTCCCGTTCCCGATCTCACAGGCGCAGTCACCGTTCCCGTTCCCGATCTCCCAGGCGCAGTCACCGTTCCCGTTCCCGATCCCCCAGGCGCAGTCACCGTTTCCGTTCCCGATCCCCCAGGCGCAGTGCTCGTATACGTGCCCAAACTAGAAGGCGTCAGCCTGATGTTGCTCGCACACCCCCAAGGCCCAGCTATTCGCCCATCACACCACCAAGGCACAGTCGGGATCCGCGCACTTACCCAATCTCTTCGAGCGGTTCTCTACCCCCGCACTTGCCTGTGCGTGGTCCTGGAACCCCGACGCTGCCTAACCTGCAGCCCCTGTTCACGATCAAGCCGGAGCCCGTGAGCCCTCCCATGGAATTCCCCGAGTACCAGTAGGACAGGAGTCGCACTCAATCCCGCAGCTGATTGCCACACTCAAGCTCATAAGAATCCCAATCAAGACAGGAATCGCCGTCATTCCATTACCCATACTCGCAATCGATCTCGTATACCCTTATGCAAGCGTTCCCCCAGCCAGTCATCCTCATCCGCTTATTACGCAGCTACGCATCCAGCAAATGGATGGATCATTTAGTCTGATGGAATAAAAAAAACACAAAGATTGTTAAATTCAATAAACAAAGACACTTCTGGGACTTAAGTTTGTCTGTGGAATGTTCAATGGAAATGGTAACCTGTTCGACGAACAGCTAAGGTTCCCCATGTAACCTGCAGCCAGAGCTTTGCAATTAAAAACAAAGAGCAGATTGTGGTCAAAACTCTGACCTGGAGGGACGGATTTATTGGCACTATAGACGCCACTCACAGACAGCTACGAAGTAGGAATATTTTTGGAAGCAGGCGACTTATTCTTAGCAGTACATAAATAGCGCATACAAATAGGGTAAAGGCTGTGCACTCAGTTGGGGGTTGGCCTTGTTTCGCATTCGATTTTGCCTTCATTTTATTTTCATATTACTTATTTATTTGGCATTTGCCTGTGGAAGAGGGAAAATCCACAGCAGCAGCTGCAGCAGCAGAAAATGTGGTGAGCCCAGGGCCATCGAAGCACTGGCACTCGTCTGCAACTTCCCGGCTAGTTGGCTAGAGGACTGCCAACCATTATTCGCATACTCTCGACGGTTCTATGCACTCATTTGTTTGTATTTGACAATTGTTCCTGATCGATTGATATGATGATGTTTTCTCTTCTGATGTGTTGGTACAATGCAAATGTGTGTGTGCTATTTGGTGTGCTATATGGCGTGCAAAATGGTGACTGGCGAGTGGCGAGTGGTTTGGTGTGGTGTGGTGGTGTGTGGTCTGCTGTGCTGTGTTCTGCGCAATATGAAATTTATGCGAATGGATTATTTGTTTGGACTTCACATTTCACCCATTTGGTGGCGTTTATGAAGCAATCCTCCATTCGAAACGGGCCCTTGCCATGGTCGAGCTCGCGCATGCATCCCACCAGAATTACAAAAACAGAGCCATTGGTCTCCAGATACAGTTTGTCGCCCGAGTGTATGTCGATGTCCAGGGCCACTTTTAGAGAGCGCTCAGACAAATCGGCCAGCACTCGCTCCTGGCTTTTGGTCTTCAGCCAGAGCTTAGCCCACTTGCCCTGCTCCAGGTTGACGCTCGAGAGGTGGATCGGCTTCTTCACGAAGTGTGAGTACGTGTAGCCGGACTTCATGTGCAATGTGGAAGAGCACGGCGTGTGCGGCTGAGAGTGCGCCGATTTATTCATTTTACGTTACTTTGGATTGGATTGGATTGTAGTACTGCAAAAATTCGTATTATGCCAAACATTCCACACCGAATTATATGGCTCCACTTACCTCCCTCACAGCGGGGCAGCAAACTACCATGAATGGAATGTTCAAAACTCTCAAGCGTATGCTGCTGCCTGTAAATTTTTAACTTTAAGCCTTTCAGCAAATGACATTTCAATCATCGATAGCCAGCATAACACTATCGATATGTTTGTTTGATGCAAGCCTGGTATGGGCCAGCGAAAAACCCCGAAAGTATCGCCAAAATAACTTAATCTTTCCACTAATATTAATTAGGCAAAGGTGCACTTTCGACTGGGTCAGTGCATTAAAATATGAACATATCGACGAACTGAATGGGCGAAAGCTACGAGTGTTTTGACCGCTTTATGGATATGTTAAGTGCTGCAGGAGGGGGATGGCTTCAAGCAGCGGGACTTGGGCCTTTTCATTAATGTCTCCGCTGCGGCTCAGTTTGGGCCCAAGCCGTGCAGCGAGGAATCAGAGTGAGACGATTTCCAAGTCCCAGAAAATGAAACACGTAGCGCAAAAAAAGTTGTGTCCAAATTGCAAACGTGCAGAGCCGCAGACAGGGCCAGAGTCAGCGCCGGAGCCGGAGCCAGAGCCGGGAAGTGGACTACACTCCCTTTCAGACAAAACAAAAAAAAAAAAAACGTCTGGCCTTGTCGTGTGTCAGTGTAGCTCCTGCATGCATAATGACAAAAATAAAGAGAAGTCACGGACAGGCAGACCAAAGGCAGGAGAGACATAATGTGAGAGAGAGGGGGGAGTGTGATCCTGAAGTGCACTTGGGCGACAATTAGAGGAATTTTCTTCATTTTATTCTCTGGCATGACTGGCGGCGGCTGACTGAGCAAAAAGCGACGACTAATGAGTGTAATTGTGTGTGTGACACTTTCGTTTTCCACATCACACCCAAACTACCAGAAGGTATTATGTACTTTAAGGAATCGTTTAATAGTACAAGTAAGATCTATGGCCATGGAAATACAAACCATTATGCAGGAAGGGACAGGCCATTTTGTAATATGTATGGGAACAAACCATGGGTGGTGGCAACGGAGGCTGAAACCTAACCAAATTGCAATCCGATTCGCAGTGAAAATGCATATTTGTTGCTGGCAAACAACAGCCTAAACAATTAACAGAGGATCAGGCAATAAAATGGAATAGAACGAGAGGCAGACAAGCATCAAATCGAAATTGGGACGCCGAACTGGTTCGCAAAATATGCAATTGAGTGAATAGACCTGCTACCGCGAATTCTATCGATTCAATCGCATGGCCTGGCCTGGCCTGGCCTGGCCTGAAATTTCTCTGGCGCATCGCCCAAATCTATGGCATATGGCCGTGTTTGTGGGCCACACCACGCCCAACGCCGCCGCCCCGAGGCAATGCCAGAATGAAACCAGAGGCAGGAGTAGTCCCAGTAGGAGTCCCACCAGCCCCTCCTTAATGCTGCCGTTTGCAAGTGCATTCGTTGCAGTTTGAAATTTGAGTAAAATAAATGAAGTTGAGTGTTCGTGCCACGCCACCTCCTCGGATGCCGTCTGCCGTCTGCTGTCGTCGCAATTGATGAGCACGGCAGAGCACGACAGAGCATGGCGGCATCTAGGAATGCATCCCCGCTGCTTCTGCTTCTGCTTCTGCCCCAGTGGCACCTCCACTCGCAAGTAATTCAAGTGAAACCACATTAAGCTTACTTTGCTAATTGCGTGCGACATGTCGCCAATGTCGAGCGCTTCCCGAGCATGTGAGCGTTCCACACGGCGTCCATCTCCGCCAGTTGCAACACATCCGCTTATCTACATAACTATGGCACGTGTGCGCGTATGGGTGCAGCTCCAGGGAACTGCCAGCACAGATAAGGAGTGGGAGAGGGGACAGGGACAGTCCTGTCCCAGGCGGAGGGAGCCAGGCATCCGCCGGAGCGGGCCAATCATTTTAATTAATTTGTGAGAGTGTTGGTTGGTTGGTGGCCCACACAAATTTATTATACTCCAACGACTCGTACCTCGTACCTCCCTTTACCCTCCCAAATTAAGCTGTCTGTGTGGGATGTGTGGGGAAATCCGTGTAAACCGAACTTTTGATTACGAAAACCAAGGAAATCAATGGATAATACCGTCAAAGCCCCGCCACCCAAGCCAAGCCGATTCCAATAAGTAAATGTTTCAGCCTCAATCAGCTGATCGGCGGCTGACACTTTCCAACACTGACGTGCGCACGAAGCCAGGGACGCTTCTGGCAGCTGAAAAGCGTTGCCCAACACTGCCAAACACTCGATGACGCCGGCTAGAAGCACGTTCTTTAATTCAACATTGTGATAAATACAAAAAAAAGGTAAAATTGTTGCCCAAAATGTACAAATCTTGTTAATATAATACATTGCCCAACTCTCGCTACACTTGCACGTATTTTTGTGATGTTTTAGAATACATTTCATTGCAGTGTTCCCAATTTCCAGCCTGCGGCAGAAAATTGTGCAAAAAAAGGCAATCGTACGACAAGTTAGCAAAGCGAATTTGTGAGTCAAGTAGATTTTCAGGTATGTACATTTAATTATGGTAGCTTTGTAATTTGGTAATACTTTGGAGATTGACTTCCCGCAGCATGAACAAAGGTAAGGGCAACGGACAGCAGATGAAGCCTGAGGGTGATTCAGTGCAGAAGCCTAACCTGCACGTCCCTGAGGCGGTCGATGCCTCTGCTCTTCTTGATCAACTGTTTCTGAAAGAAAACCTAGACTGGAATGCTAAATCGAGTTCGCAGGAGAACTCCAAGTCGTTTAAAACTATCAGGAAGGATATTGGGAACTCCTATTACTTCGAGCTGCCTTTCGACATACCGCAACGTCCCAGAACGCGTTCGTATTACTCGAAAGTGATCGGCCCACCGCAGAATCCCGAAACGCTTATAATGCCAGCCGCTGGCACTGATGAAAACTCTTATGACTGCGGAGCTCCGGACGAGCTGCAGTGCAAGGAAGTGACCATACCAAACACAAAGGATAACCATGAAGAGGTGGATATGGATCTAGATGAAACCACATTTGTTGAACCCCCTCAGCCCGAGAACGATAACAATCTATTGAATGCACGCATAGCACTCATCCACGAGGAATTCTTGCGTGGCCTCATCAAATAGAATGCCAACATGAGGGAAAAGACGAGCATCATAATTATTAAAATCATAATTATACACTGAGAGCTTCATTTGAGATTGGTTTTTGTTCTTTTAGGAGTTTTAGTATCTAGTTTCTTTCAGATTTTGGTGCCGTGCCTCGTTACCATGCTCCCCACACAGCATGGGGGGAGCACTCGACAGGGCGGACACAGTCAGGTGTCCGTTAGCAGATTTCCACAACATTTTGGGGGGAAATCCTTGAGCACTTTCAAGTGAAGCTCTTGCGCACACATCTTCATGCATTTTCTGCAATTTCGGGAGTGGCCAAAAGGGCGGAGTGCGGCTGTCACGGTGCTGCACTTTGAGGATTTTCTTTGCTGTTGCTGTTGCCGTTGCCATTGCCGTTGCTGTTGTGCCACATCCATTGGCTCCGTCCGGACCGAAAATGAAACGAAATGAAATGAATTGCCACGAGTGCTAGCGGGTGTTTCATTTAAGTGTTCGCCCCGGATTCGCCCACCTGCATCTGGCCGGGATTGCACGCCATTAGCAGGAGTAATAGGCGAGGCGACCCGAGAGTGCACTCCAGCTACTTTCTTATTGCAACATTTAATGTTGGGGCAAGTTGAATTCAACCCTGTACCAGTCCCAGTACCTCTCCCTGTCCCTGCCCCTCTCCCTGTCGCTGGCCCCACAGCGCCCCTCATGAGTAATTGCACAACACATAATACACACTTGTAGTCGTACACGGCTGCGCTAATCCCTGGGGGATATCGTGTAATGTGACGTGTGCCCGACGCTCTGATTCATTCTGCTCCTGGAATCCGACTTGAGCTCGTGTGACTTGCTTAAGCCCTTCGGCGGCGCCTATCAATGCAAATCGTAGTTTATAGCCAATTGAACTTATGGCTTGTTAATTGCCGCTGCATTAGCGGTCATTGATGCGGATTAGCAGCTGGCCAAAATGAGAATATACGATTATTTGATGGGTTCAAAGCCATGGCCTGCAGCGAGTCACAAAAGCCGAATTAAATATGTGTCTCCTTCATGTCTAAGTAGATTTTTACAGCTTTAACGATTCAAGATATCGCTAAACACTAAATGCTATAATTTAACCCTATGCGGCGCACATGAAGTTTAACCCTCAAGGGGCAACATTCGTCAAACAGACGAAGGAAAACTTTTAGCTGATGTAATTTAAAAATTATAAGCACTTTTAATATGAAACAAACTTGTTCATACTTTTTTGTATTTTTACTAATATTAAAACTTAAAAATAAAGATATTTATTGGTTCGAATTAAACCTTTTTTTATAACCGTATTTCACAAAAAATTAAGCGTGTCTTCTTACATTTGTAAAAAGTGATTGTGCAATTATTGATTGAAACTCGACCCCATAGTATATTATCTTAAGAATTAACATAAAATGTTAACCTTGCCGTCTGTCCTCCGTCTGTCCTGTGCAGCCCTTCTGTCCCGTCTTGAAGTTGTCCTTCTCAGAGACTTTTAAGAGCTAGAGCAACCAAATTTTGTTTCCATATCTGCATAATATTAATCGACTTTGGATAATGTATTTCGAAGATTTCGCCCCGCCCCCTTCGCCCCTAGACCTAATATTTTAGGAACATTTTAAAGCGATAAAACTAGCAGTCTTAAAAGATTTAGACTTCCGAATCTGAAACAGATGGTTAATCATAGCCAAGAGAAATTTGTTCAGTTGCTTCCCCTGTCCCCAGGCTCGGGAAACGACAACTCAAGTCATTTTCCTTCTCGCTCGCACACTCTGCCGCGTTCAGTGCGCGAGGAACCCTTAGCGGAGGAGATGTAGAAAGGACTTTGCTAGCATCTGAAATAAACTGGTTAGGGTAAAATAGACAACACTTTTGGTTCCTTGCAAAAAATTTAAAATGTAAAATTTTTTTTTTTTAAAATTCTAAAAATTCATAAGCTCATATAATGTATATACTGACCGAGTACGGGTATATGTAGAGTTGTGTCGATGAAGCAACTCACGCGTCCTTCTCGTTAACTATTATTTTACCAAAACTGCCTCGTCTCCAAGGCAGTGCCTTTTAAGGAGCTTAAACCTGCTTTGAAATGACATTTTAAAAATGTTTTCCATATTTCTTAAAACTAATATCGGTATGTATGTAAGTCTTCTTAAAAATTACATATAATTTCTAATTTGATTTGTCTGAATGTCTTGTGCAAGCCAACTTTTGCGCCTTCGTAATTTGTTTTTGTTTCTGAGGTTTTTAAGAACTAAAGGGAGAAGCGGTTGGTTGCATACGATAACTCGACTTGTGACGAACCTTCGGGGAAATATTTTCTTTGTCTACAGTTAATATTTTAACGAATCACTTAGGCGATAAACTAATATTTAAAAAAGATTTACTTCGAGTAGAACAATGTTTCGCACCCAAGAAAGATTTGTTGAGCTCGTACATGCATGGACATATTTCACAAATAATCATGTATTATGCGACTCGATGCAAGGCTGTTTCTAAAGATATAAGACATCAATTTTGTTGGGATACCAGCGCTGCAAATGCCAAGTAAAAATTGTGAAAGTGCGGCAAGGTCACCAAATCACAGCTTATGAGTTTTTAAAATAATTATTTACAAATTTGCAACTTATAATTTGTTATGTTAATTGGAAATTATGGGGCCTGTGATTTAGATCAAGCCAGTTATTGCCTTAAGTGTAAAAAACAACAAAGGTGGATTATTTAATTTAATTATAGTCAATTTTTCTGCCATACGATTTCCATCTAATTTTTAAAATTCAATGCTTTGGCCTTCGTCCCACAGAACCCGCAGATTCAGCTACCGCAACACGGCAGAAGTCTTGCAACATGCTGCGCTGCACAACAGATTCAGCAACATGGGAATTTGTTGCCAGGAGACGCTTGCGGTGATTTGTTTGTCTGGCGCTGCCTAAAAGTATGCAAACAAAAAGCGCGAAGACAATTCTGTTACTGTATCTGGGGTGGGGTGTGTGTGTTTGTGTGTTTTTATATCTGTTTGCGTATGAATTGCAAATGCAAATGAAAATGCTTGAAAATTAAATATCATTTTCACGAAACTCTCAATGGGCGTGGCAGTGGAATGAGGGAATGAGGAATGGTTGGGTTGGGTTGGGTTTGGGGTGGAGTGGGTGGGAGGTACATGCGTGCCTTTGCAAATCACGTCCTAATATTTACAAATGGTTTCTTGTAATTAAATTAACACAAAACGTGACATTGTCACTGTAGCAGATTTTTAAGCGACATCCACACACACACACACAGCAACACAAGCCCAAGCAGATACACTCACACACATATACACACACACAAATCATGGCAAGGACAAAAGCCAGAATACAAAGTCCCCAAAGCATTAAGCACAACGACATCTGAAGTTGGGCGTCTAAATTGTAACTTTCCCTCAGCTTTGCCCACTGCTTTTCCCTCTGGCCTGCCCACTGCTTGCTCACTCACTGTGTCCCCCCCTTGTTCACCCGCCTTGCCATTGTCTGGAAATGAAATTTAAAACATAAATGAGCAAAAGTGCGTGCAGCCCGCCCCACAAGTCTATTTGTGCCTCATTTGGGAGCTGCCACAAGGAATGGCGTGGGGCTCTGGTGTTGCCACACACTCGCCTTAAAGTGTAGTTAGTGCGGCATGTGTGCGTGTGCAGTGTGTCCGCTGCTGCTCTTCCCCCCCCAGATTAGGAATGTAATTTACAATTTACAACATGCTCGCAAATAAATGTCGACTTCTTTTATACAGGCACTTATGTATGCCTACCCCCTTAACCACCTTGCCATGCCATTCCATGCCTTGCCATGCCTTGCCTTGCCTTGCTTTGCCTTCCCTTCCCTACTACCCACCTTCAATTTTTGTCCCACCTGGAGAGCCAGCGTACACGTACTACATGGACCTCGACTTGGCTGCGGCGCCACAAAACGATACAATATGTGTATCAAAACACGGCACTGCAAGCCTCGTTGGAGGCTTCATCAGACGCTACCGAGGAGTGGCACAAAGATTGACAGTTCTTGCCACTGAAATGCACACACGCACACAAACAGCACAAAAGCGACAGAGAAAATCAACAGCTCTTAGCAACAAAAGTTGCCACTGAATAAAGGAAACGAAAATAGAAACCGAGAGGCATTCCAATGAATAAAGGGTGCCCCAAATCAAAGGAAGCATCTCAAGAAAAAAGGTGACAGGAGATCCATACTGAAAGGAGAACTATACCAGGGAGTATTCCACTCTGATGGATTTAATCACATATCATGGCAATCGAAGCGATATACCTACACAGTATGTATTTATAAACTGACTTAATTCTGATTCAAATATTTTTGTAGCTGGCATAGAAATCTTAAAAGAGATTTCAGTAGAACAAGCGAAGAACCTGCAACTCTGCACAAGACTTAGCCTTGGCTCTGGCTAAATCATTTATATCTGAGAATGGCAGAGCAGCCACAGCCACCCTGTATCGGACATGCGAGTATGTATCACTCGCATATGTACGAAAGAAATCTAGAAATTCCTTATCGCACCTCAGTGTGCAGCATTAAGTGGGCCTGTGGTACGGGCACGTTCGGGCTTCACCTGGCAGCGCCACTCCACAGCCACCCGCCTACTCGGAGTAAGTCAGGACGGGTCGGAGCGGAGCGGAGGTGCGGCATCAGCGAGGGCGTTGCAAGCAAACCGATTAACTACCCGCCAGCGTCAGTGTCAACACGAAAGTATTTGCCACATGCCACGGATGAGAGGCGATATATGGATGCGCGTGCTGGGGGATGGAGGTGGAGGTGGTGGCCAAGGGACAACGTGTTGAGTGAGGCAAATGTATCTTGGACGTGCTGTGCCACCGAGACTGTGCGGTGCGGCTCTGAGGCTCTGTAAGGCTGTGAGACATTCTGTAATCCGCTCAAAAACCACCAAACTACAATGTACGCTCAGCGAGACAGAGGCAGATGCAGAGGCTGAGGCAGAGGCTGGGGCAGCGGCTGAGGCAGCCTCCAAAAGCCAAAGCTGAAGCTGAGGGAAAAATCTGCTGCAAGAGCTGAAGCTCACTTCACTG